AAGCCACAGAAGACTTGCCTGGCAAGGTACTTTCTTGAAATGGTAGGAAACCCCCCCGTGGTATTCACAATTAATATTACATAAACAAGACATGCGGTGCTTTCTGGTTCATTAAGACATAACGTCAAGATGCCAAAGAGAAGTCACAGCTGCTCTCTACGAGGAGGAATACGTTCAGGACATGCCAATTACTTTGTTGTCATGCGGTGCAGGAGACCGCCGCTGTCCCGATGCCAGGCGGCAAGAGTGTCAGGAGAGCGGGCCGGTTAATAGATTGCACGTAAGGCAGGCTTGGAAAATGGGTTTTCTTTGGAAGTGGGACGAGGAATGGATAGACGCGAACAGGAACAGAGGAAAACGGGGGCTCTTCCCTTCCCCGGCAATGATGACGATGTCAGATGAGTGCCGCGAGAGACACAGCAAATGTCAGTCCCAAAGAGGAACCCGTACGCTCTTCCATGGCCGGGAGGGATGCTACGCCATGCTGCCGACGGGGAAGCTGGAACAGGCCCATTGCAGCTCTGCCTTCCTCCAGAGAGACGTGGGTGTGCAACAGGACAGCTGCCCGCTGTGCCTCCTACACCCCCCCGCTCGGACATACCAGACTAACCCCACTAGCAGCTGGAAATGGTGCCCACACACATCGCCAGCTCCACAGATGACAATAATGATACAGGAACCCAAAATGCATTTTGACTCTACCCCTGACAGTCTGGCTCCGGATGAGAGAAAAGATGGGAAGTGAACCTGAGCTGGAGCTCATAGGATCCTAGAAAATGAGGGTTGGAAGGGACCTCAGGAGTCCAACCCCCTGCTCACACTAGGACCAGCCCCAACTGCATCATCCCAGCCAGGGCTTTGTGTAGCTGGGTCTTCAAAACCTCCAAGGATGGAGACCCCACCACCCCTCTGGGGAGCCTGTCCCAGTGCTTCACCACCCTCCTCACGAGGAAGTTTTTCCTGATATCCAACCTCAACTTCCCTTGCTGCAGCCTGAACCCTTTGCTCCTTGTCCTGTCGTCTGCCCCCACTGAGACCAGTCCAGCTCCATCCTCTTTGCAGCCCCCCGGCAGGGAGGTGACAGCTGCTATTCAGTCCCCCTCGGTCTTCTCTTCTCCAAACTAAATCAGCCCCATTCCCTCTGCCTCTCCTCACCAGCCCCCAACCATTTTTATTGCCCTCCACTGGACTCTCTCCAGCGTGCCCACATCCCTTCTGTAGTGGGGGCCCACAGCTGGACACGGGACTCCAGATGTGGCCTCCCCAGTGCTGAATAGAGGGGGAGAATCACTGCCCTCGATCTGCCGGCAATGCTCCTCCCGATGCAGCCCAGGATGCCGGTCGCCTTCTTGGTGACAAGGGCACACTGCTGGCTCCTATCCAGCTTCTCGTCCCCTGTCCCCCCAGGTCATTTTCTGCAGAGCTGCTGCCCAGCCCGTTGCCCCCAGCCTGCCCCGGTGCAGGGGATCGCTCCCTCCCCAGTGCAAGACTTTGCACTTGAGTTGGGGGTGTTTTAATCCCCATCCATAGTTAGTCACATGCAGTAACACGGCTGACTTGGATGCGTTGAGGCCCCAACACCGGCTGCATCTTGAAGCTCTTTCCCGGGTTTGCTCCCATGCTCGCTCAGGGGAAGCCCCACATACCTGCTGGGGGATGCAATCAGGCCCTGAAAGGTTCAGAACGGAAAACCGCTATGTGTGTTCGCGGCAGCTGCAGCGCACAAGTGCAAATCCACTTCCGGAACCACTACGACTTTTCTTTTCAAACCATAGTGCCCTGTTTGTGCTTCTTCCTCTATCATAGGACAGGACAACAAAATGCACCGAGCGGGTGTCTGTGTGCTGCTCCCACCCCGCGCACAACTATACGGGAGGCTCTATCTTGCACTAAACCAAACTGGAGAAGGGCAGCACTCCCTAGGCCAGCGCCATGGCACAGAGAGCCAGGAGCCGCGGGTTCAATCTCATGCTCCGGTGCTAGCTAACTGCCAAATAACAGGTTAAAACAATGAATTCCTTGGTCTCTCCATCTGCAAAATGGAGATAACAGCTACTCTCACACAAGCTGCAGGTAAAAGGTACTCTATTAGACAAATTACCACCTTCGTCAGGGGGCATTTCTCATGGCACGCATGCTCTGGCCTCAACCTCTCTCAAAATTGTGGTTGATGAGAGACGGGTCTGTGATTTTTTTGTGTGAATAATGGGCTACATGTAGGCCATGCTAGATGCAATGCCGTGCAATGGCTAAGGTGGTGGCTAAGAAGCAAGAAGGAAGGAATTCATGTCAAACTGTTTCCACTCCACAAACAAATGAAAGGTATCTGACACGCACAAAGTAAGGGCTAGTAAAAGCTGCAGCATTGCAAAGATCTGAGACTCTTCTTTCTCTCTCTTTCTCCTCTTTTTTAGTTTTGTTGGTTCAAAATACCGATCTCACCACCCCGTGTCACAGACGGCTGTCATGTTATCCATCGTATCCTATTAAAACATAACATAGAAAGCCGAGATAAAAGGACCTTTGTTCCCAGAGGAATCTTTCTTACTGCACATTATTTCTCTTACAGCAATGCACAGATGCCCCAGTCCGGATCAGGCCCACCTCTGCCTCGGGAACAAAAAACAGAAGCAAAAACCTGTCCTAATCCACCTTGCCTCGCGTTGCTGTACGGGTACCAGAACGGTGGCCGTGCATGTGATCTTCCTGGCTGTAGTGAACACAACAATCCCGAGACCTCGTGAACTCTGCTCATGAGAAAGTGAGACTGCACATCCCATTAACTGGGCTCTCTCTGGTTCTGCATTATGATTTTTTAAGGGCAATTACACTCTTGGCTAACCTCCCATTATCTACAGGTCGCATGGCAAGAGACTTCCCTTGCTATCTAAAAGGAAGCATCAGGGCTTTAACTGGAGGTGAATAGCTGCACTTGTTTTAGATTAAACAAATAAACCACGTTGCAGCCTCTCCGCTGCCCATGCAGCTCTCTTCCGGAGAGCTCTGCACCGTGCTTGCTCGACTTGGCCCTTGCAGGCGAGAGGGAAAGCACCCCAATTCTCTGATCCTTGTAACCCCAAGAAGTCTTGCCTAGATGACAGATGGCACAGCCCAGATCTGTGCCTAGCTCTTCGTGGCTGTCGGCTGTGCTACTTCCAGAGCAGGGCTTGCAGTTGCATAGACCTGAATCCAGGGGATTTGGGCACTTTCTTGTCCTCTGTCCCTTGTTGCAGTCTCCTTGTTTTAAATTAATACAACAGAAGGAAAGTGGTTTTGCCACATCCTGTTCCTGCAAGCTTACAGCACTGTGGACATGGTCCCTTCGCATACAGAAATCAACAGTATGCCCCCCATCTCAGTAAGCTCGTGCAAGCTGGCACAGGCATGGCTCGAGGAGCAAAGCATCTGCCCTGCATGCTTTCCTGCCAGCAAAGTCAAGGACAATGGAAGAGCCCAAGCCACTCAATTAGACAAACTACAATCAATTCCCTGTTCCCAGTGCTGGAGCAGGGTGCCCTCTCTATTCGTAACAGCTCTGAAGAGGCACTAATGTCCTGCTGTAGAGGGATTTAAATGCATGCTGGCAGTTCAGCAAGTGCTTAAGTGCTGCCTGCATCGCGGACGTACTGAAGATGGTCCTTGTGATACTTGCATTGAGGGTGAAGGTGAATTTCATTTAGCCGGTTCCTTTCTCTTGAACACCACATTTTCGACAGGCTTTTAAGCTCGGTGGTGCGGAGGGGCATTTGCCATGACTACGGTCACATCGCGCAACAGCTCAGACTCCCTCATTTCCTGTTGTGGAGCATCTCAACTCGACAATCCTCAAATGAGTCAATTTACCTAACCTCATCGCAGGGCGCTCACAGGAGTCACACTCTTTGCTGGGATGGTAGCACACAGACAAGTATGTTTTTCTAATGCCTGTTCCTGGCCCAGGTCGGAATTGGTGATGGGCATTTTTGCATCTGTCATTTTCTATAGCTCCCTAGGAAGCCCCCGGCGCCCTACAGACATCAGCATTGCATCCCATTCCAGTGAAGAATAGCTCTTTTTGGAGGCAAGAGGCTAGGCTGGTTCAGGAAAGTGAAAAACCATGATGCATTTTTCACCCGTAAACAGCTGAAAGCCATGGCTGACAGAGGGAGAAAAGGCCTTTCAGTCACGTGCTCGATCTCGGCAGGCTGCTTTTCATGCAAGCAAGTGAATGTAATGGAGCAGAGCAGCAAAGGCCCCGCAAACTCCTCTCACCTACATCTCAATGCAATAGTTTAATAAACCTTCCCCGCATTATTCCCCACAACCAGGGACTGCAATGCCTGCCACTGCTTCCCCTGGGCCTTCTAAATGAGCCTGAGTTTCTTTCTACTGAAGCAGACACAGAAGGGTCCATCTTTTTACAGCTGCACTGTAGTCTCTGCTGCAACCTCCCTGTGATGCCGACATGCACAGATTAGCTGCATGGCCGAGGTGCAGCTAGCTGCGCGGCTGCAGCAACCAGAGCTCAGCAGAGGCTGCAAAATCTACCTGAGAAGGGGGAGAAAGAGGGGAGCGGTTATCCTGCACTGAGGGCACAGGCGGCTCCCAGGCCTTGAGCTAGCTACTGCAGGCGCTGCAGTGCAGACGTGCTCTCTGCACTGGCTCTTTTACTTGCCGATTCTTTGCTAATGCCATGTCCCTTCTGTATCCACTTTATTTACACACAGCAGTTTGATAGCCCCATTAGCTTGTCTTATGACAGTTTATGGCTTTTATTGGCATATTGATATCTATATAGTGATGCTCAAACACGCAAAATAACTGCGCTGCAAGAATCCATGGCTTCGTGCGGTCCCAGGCCAATCAGAAAGAAAGGTTTCTCCTTCCCGGTAGCCATTCATTATATTCAGTCATGCAGCCTGGGTAAATTAATTGGTACGGCCTATTAAAAATCCCCAGTGACAACTAGCGTAATGCCATTATGCATTCAAGAGAGTTCGAGTGTGAGTCGTGGTGCTTACCTATGGATATGGTCCAAACTGCAGCAATTTTCATAATAGCCTTGGTGCGGGAATTGAAGCGGCTGTGCTCGATGGGATTGCGTATTGCTACATACCGATCGAGAGAGATGGCACAGAGATGCATGATAGATGCGGTTGAAAAGAGGACATCTAGGGAAATCCATATGGGGCACAACTGTTTAGGCAAAGGCCAAGCATAATCTGAAACACAGAGAGAAAAGGAATGAAAAGAAAGAGGGAAGAAAACAACTTGGGAAACTAGGCCAGCATCCATGATCAAACCATTCAAGTATTTTAACTCAGCACCATTCATGAAAGGGGGGGGGGGTGTGTGTGTGTGTGTGTGTGTGTGTGTGTGTGTGTGTGTGTGTGTGTGTGTGTGTGTGGGTGTGTGTGTG